TCAACCTCTGGTAAACAAGAAAGGTCAGCAATAGAAGTTGACAAGGGTGTGTCTTTACAATCAAAACTTGCCCAGCAATGTAGTGTGAATGCCAAGATAGCACCAGACATGGCTATAAATATTGATACCAACCCTTTTTTTATGACACGAGCAGGAGTGAACAAGATAGAGCAGGATGAAAGAATAGGCATTGACACAAAGTTGCTGCAGCCAAAGGCTCAACAATATGGCAGGATTGGTACCACTGCTCATAGAAAGGTTGGACCTGTTCAGTATGGTATGACAAGGTTGTTCTAGAAGAATGTTGTCTTGTGAATAGTTTGGCCAGGTGGAGCAGTCCTCGCGGAAAATAAGAAAAGGTTCTTTATAGTGGAGAAGCAGTAGTCTCTGGTGGTGCTTTGTGTCGTGTAAGATGATGACATGGGTTAGTGCTTCCCCAGAAAGAGCCTGCTTTCTCTGGTCATTGGTCAAACCTTGTAAACATTGCTTACAGTTATCAGTAAACTGTACAACTGAAATTGAGCCCTCTCTTGTAATTCAATCCACACATTCATTTTCCTAGTTTTTTTTTTTATTTCCTGCAATAACTATTTTCCAAATAGAAATAAATAAGTCAGACTGGTAAAGTACTAGTAAAAATGTGGAAAATGTTATTGGCAGAGGATTAAGGAGTTTCATTGTTCAACTCCCTTTGGCCATTACGAAAATAGATTCCTCACAAGTTTATTTAAACAACTGGATTCCATTTAAAAGTTTATCAATGGCTCAAACTCTGCCAAAGTTTCCTCACCTAGGCACGGTAACAATTTATCCTTGAAAGTAGGTTTGCTTTTTACATAATTTCCTTCTACTTTTGTTTTTATTTTAAAAGAAGAAATGGACACTTTTTATTGGAATCAAACCCTGAAGAAATAGTTCGAACATTTGATCGATTACGACATCACTGTATTTCATATGATTTTGAAAATATGAACGGACATGTGCTTCATGGAGCCACATTGGCCTTCCATGTGGAGGAAGTTACTGCAGCTACCTTTTGGAAGTTCTATCTAATAGCTAGCTATACAGGATAAGGTTAACTTTATGTGGAGGCTAGCTTTCAGAGTGTACAACCAGTTGTAATCTTGATTTTTTCTACTTCTCACTTCAGAAGAGTTAAATTGGTAACGGTGATGCAAAGAGGCTTGTTACTTAGCTATCAGAAAACCTGGCGGATCACTCTTGTCACAATAATGTTACAGCCCACATAGGGAAAAGTAAAAAAGAGCCACTTGCTTGGCTCTAAAATGTACAATTGTTTGTTGATTTGATTTAATCGTTACACATTAGAAGCATCATCAAGAATTTCCTAAAAAATGAGGTAAAACTGACATTCAAACACGGAGTTGAGATAATGCATTTGAATGATCTGGTCGCTTGTTTATTGTTTGGCATTTACTGCATATGCAAGCTGCAGACAATGCGGGGCTCACCAATAAAGGTCTGAGTCAGTTCATGTGCTGATCATTAAGTTATAAACAGGTCAAGATATCCTCATTCCTCCCACTCTACAACACCAACTGTGAATATTCCTCACTAGCTACATGCATTTATTTTTCTTTTTTCTTTTTCTAAACCTAATTGCTGATATTGTTTTAATAAGTTTTGCTCCACTGAATTCTTGTTTCATTTCCCTACA